TCATTATCAGTACGTCACTAGACCCTGATGAAGCTAGCTGCAATGCTGGCGAAACGTCGGAATGTAAATTCTTTTGGACACGGCTTACACCCGGAAGCCTCAAATATTTCCACTCATATCAATCCGGGCCGTGAAAGTCTCAAAACTCTCAAATTGTATCGTGTTTGATCTCATTTTCATCAGAAAAGTCTCACCAACATGTTAAAAAAATGTTGAGATAAAAAAAAAGTAAAATCAAAAAAGTTATATTATTCTATTATGAACTGTCCAGCCGTGAAATCTCGTAAAAGAAACCGAATGGTGTAGCGTTACACGCTTGACTGACTGCGAGCGAGATAACATGGGCGCAACAATGACGCGGACCTAGGCGTAGGACAATCTATGTGGCCAATTGTAGAATCCAAACTAGTGGCCAATTGGAGAGACATTACTGTATCGTGAATTATTTTGAAACAAGTGTACATCGTGGCTAGGCAGATTATACAGTTGCTGTCATTAATTTCCTGCCACATTTAGAACAGTATAACTGATTTGAAATTGGATCCAAATAACTTGAATTGTTTTGAGAAGGTAGAAGGATTAGTTTCCTAGATGACGTGTTCCAGAAATTTTGAAAAAATCGAAATCTGTGGGATGAAATTTTCAGCATGTACATAATTGGCATACAAATCGTACGTTTTAAATGTTCACAACAAGCTCAGGTAAAGAAGTTGTAAACAGTGACCTTTATAATTCTCTTTGCGATTCCCACAAATTGCAATTTTGTCAAAATTTTTCGTACAGGTCATCTTTTAACTTTTCAAAGAAGCTCAAGTCGGTTCGTCCAATTTTAAAAAAAGGTATACTGTTCTAAAAGTGGCCAGAAATTAATAACCGCAACTGTATACGCAAATTTCGCAAAATACCAATTTTCGTTCCTCAAAAAATAAATTCGAAATGATCAATTTTCCGATACAACCGGATATTCCCCACACGAAAATCGAAGCGTCAAGACACTGAAACTGATCTGTGTTTAATACAGGCCTACGTGGTGTTCCGTAGCGGAGGCAAGGAGGACTCGAAGCACTCCGGGGCAACTGGGAAATTTTTAGGGAAAAGCAGCCGCCCGGCGGGCACCAGCAACCAGACGAACTCAATATCCCTTCAGCAAGGAAACTTCACGGACGAGAGCGACGGAGCCACGGTAAGAGCACTCTCTCTCACCACCCACCTCCTTACAAGCCAGCTTTTTTCCATTCCCATTCCAACTCGTCCAACCAGCGACAAAATATGTATTTAATGGCTGTTCCATGTGAGTTCGTACACGTTACGTATACATACAGGGTGTCCCAGTGGTAAAAGTAGCGGAACCAGAGTGTGTGATTGTGAAAAAATCAGAGCCGAAATGGTATCGTGTAATATTTGATATAAAATTTTCCTTTTATATATTGAATTTACTTTTACTAACACGGCTCGGAAAGAACGTCTTTTCTGTACGAATAGCTGTTAGGAACTGTTTTCTGGACAACCAGAAAGAGAACCCTGGGGTCTGTTTATACCTACTCTTCGTTCAAAATAAGAATAATCTCGTTTCGCGCATGGGACGTGCCTAAGGCAGGGCTAGAACGTCCAAATCCCCACTTAACCGCCTACCTTATACCTACTCTTCGTTCAAAATAAGAATAATCTCGTTTCGCGCATGGGACGTGCCTAAGGCAAGACTAGAACGTCCAAATCCCCACTTAACCGCCTACCTTTTTCTCCGTCTTACCCTCTGCTACGCTTTCTGTCTATGCGCAGAACGGACGAAAATCGGTCCGAGAGCGAGGTTATTCTTATTTTGAACGAACAGTACGAACTGTTTATGTTATTGTCTTGCAGAGTGTCTTGACCTTAGGACGAACTCCAGACACATCCGGTGGTCATCCTAGTGTCTTTGTTTAGAAATATTTTTGTTCTCAGGCGATATATTTTGTGTAGCGTCTTTAGAAATATTCCAACGTGTAATATATGTATTTTTTGGATATAAAGCATCGTCGATTTTTGAGAAGATCGATTTTGAGAACTTGCTGCATTAGTATTGGGCGAGTATGGTTGAAGTTCAATCAGCATAATTTAGCAGGAATATTTTGGAATATAATGTAGCGGACAGAACGGTGAGAGGAAAGTTTTTACTTTCTACGAAAGAAAGGTCCTGGCAGCCGTGCCCTTAACACGGAGGGTCTCAAATGTTTAGAATAATTAAAATAAAATGTATATCGTCATCTAAAAATTTCGAACATCATAGCTAACTAGACATTATTTTGAATTTAAAAAAGAAAATAATAATAATAAAGCACAATAAGCATAATATAATACTATGCTTAGAATAATGAAAATTTTCGTGTGGCCCCCTGAGCAAAACATATAAATCTGACGCGGCAGTCAACGTGTTAAACAAAGGGCAATAAAACATCTGTGTCGCTGGCTCACGGGTCGGTCGGGAAATATGCGGCGTTGGACGTTCACGTATTTACGCGATTTCACTTTTCGAGGAAAAGATTTTCCCTTTCTCTCGGAAACTTCCGATGGTCGGAAGGGTGTGTCCTGCGAGTGGGACCACGAAAAATCGGCGCGGAAAAAAAGAAGAGAGTAACGAGCCACCGAGGCGTACATTTCGGTACTCTTCTGTGAATTCCCCTTTTTCTAGAATAATTAACTCACGTTACATACTTTTGTTATGAGTTATTTTGTTATCAAATAAATTAAGCTTTGTTACCTCGTAAGTAGAGCTAAAGTAATAAAAAGAGAACATGCGCAGACATCCCTTATGTATTATTTAAATCGTGTGAGGAATTTCTTTTTAATTCATATACGAACCATGACTATTGGGACACCCTATATGTGTATATATATCTTCAGGAATCAGCTGCTCCCTTCTTTCTGCAACTTTATCTCTATGTACAATAGTATAAATTTTCGCCGGATTATCGTGATCTTGTAACGGCAATATGTACCCGGGGGGCATACAGCGTGATACAAAAGTTAGGTTATGGGCTCTACGTGCTTTGAAAATGGAATGGTGACACACAACATTTGCTGAATTCCTATTTGGTTATTCTGATTTTAGTAATATGAATTGTGTTTCGTGCGTGGTGACGGTAATATCCGGGGAATCTAGAGGGTGGTGCACAAGTGGTGCAAATGAATTTCACGTGGCTCCACAGTGAGTCGATGGATATTAGAAAATTTTGCAGAATCTTTTCGAAATATTCGAATTTTAGATACTTAAAATATGATCGATCGATCTACACGGTGACTTCGTTTTCCCTGTGAATGTATTATTATTATTTATTTATTTATAAACGGACCGGAGCCCTCTTACGAGGGCGGATTGAAATGTTCGCGGCCTAAGTGGGAAGAACTGCTGCTAGGTGCTTGCAATTTTTACGGTGTAATCTGTGATCATTTGTGTACCGACGTACGAAGTTTCGTGGCTGTGTCAGTTTTTTGTTCTCTTTTACAGCTGGTGAAGTAGGGGCGTTTACAGCGACGGAGAAGAGACGAATAGAAACGAGAAATGATCCAGTACCTGGTGACAAAGGACCTCACCGCAAGGACCTTGAATGATTTTCGCAAGAATTTCGAATAATTTTTGCAAGGTCTTTGAATGATCTTTGATGTGAGGTCCTTTATCTTTAGGTATTAGATCGCTGTTCATTTCCTAATTTTGTCCATCTCTACTCCATCTACTGCAAATACCTCTACTTCACTAGCTCTAAAAGGGAGAAAAATGACGACAGAGACACAGAAACTGTATACATTGGTACACAATTAATTACATATTATTCGGTAAAAATTAGAAGCACTTAGCTGCAATCCTTCATACTTAGGCCGTGAACTTTTCAATCCACCCTAGTACATAAACGTTTACAAAAAAAGAAAAAAAACTTTACATAACATAACTGTCTGTTGTCGACGCGATCCAAAACTGATCCAAAAAACGTACCAAATAAATTCACAATTTTATCATCGTCTGTTGCCACATTTTCTTTGTAAAACATGTTGCATGGTAAGCCAGACGTTTTTCGCTTAGAATTTACAAAACTCCAAAAGGAGTTAATATTATTTTGAACCGATAGTTCAGTTTTGCATATAACTCTATGAGCCTGTTTCTTTTTACGAACCAATCCAATTAAGGTATGAGAAAACCATTTAGGAAAAGTCGAATGTTTATAATACATTTTTGGAATAAAGTTCTCGATCGCAAAATAAAGGTGGTCATACAAAAGTTTGGTAGAATCGTCGACGTTAGTATTTGCGAGCAAAACGTCCCATTCTATATGATTTAAGTAGTCAATAATACTATTGTAGTCGCCACGTTCAAAGTTGTAATAGGAGTATGTGGTATGCTGAGTATTTCTTATGTTTTGAAGATTAATCGAGATGTGGAGAGCGGGATGGTAACTATCACATTTTACAAACGACTCAGGAGAGCACATCACATGTGTTGACGCGATATTTGAAAAGATTAAATCTAAAGTATTGCCGAACGAATTTAACACAGAGTTGCATTGGGATCCATTATAAAAGTTAAAAGTAGAGGAGAGAATTCCAGCAGATGCAATTTCGTTCGTGGAAACATTTGAATTCGCGGGAAATGAGTTGGAGCCGGACCATGTGATATGAGGAAGGTTATAATCGCCACAAGTAATATAGTTACAGTTCGAATATTTGTCTAAAACATCAGGAATGCGGTAGGAGAGGTGGTAGTTTCCCTTATAAAAGGGATGCTGAATTCGGTGAACACAGGCAGGATGTGACGCAACGTCACAAGATATACATGTGACGGGCTTTGCTACCGCTGTCCCACATCCTTTGCATATCAGTTTTTTCGCTTGAGACATATTTACTCAATCAGTGATGGCCAGGAGAGAGACACTCTAAGTTGAGAACACTGTACCTAATATGGTGAAGAGCGTTAGTATGTCCGTGTGCACCAACACGTCGAACCGCTGATGATAAACACAACAGGAGACACAGACTTCACACCAAACGAACTCCAAACCAATCAAGATGATGCAGAAAAACTTCAATAAGTCCACGATCGGTTGACCAACTCACATCTCACTTATATGAACATGATCAGGGTACAGAGACGAATCGTTCAATATATAACTCAGGCTCGGTTGGAAATATCGGGCCTGAAATACCGAGAGCTCGTTAATTCCCTTGCAGCAGCACCTCGCGTCGACGACAATTCGATAATAATTAACACCTGCAGAATTTTCGTTGAACTACTTTCATCTTATTCCCGTAGATTTAACCCTAGAGCGGTCTTCGGGTCTTTTTTGACCCACCGCCTTTTTATATTTTTAGTAATTTTTGCTGTTATCAAGTTTACGTTCCTTAACATTATTTTAAACGTTTATTGTCTAGGTTCATATGTCGCGTTGGAAACAAAAATTGTTTCACATAAGGTCTTAGATCCTTTTTCACCCAAAAGTCTTAAGTGTACAGTCAAAACGAAGAACGCAGTAGGGTTAAAGTTGGTCTCAAGCAGTCGTATTTTTGTATTTCATTCAAATTACTGTCCCAAATTAATTTCCATAATAAAAAATTGAGGGATTTGATGATGAATGACAAATGACATTTTCCCGAGCGATGCGTCACAGAGGGCAAACGCCAACGAGTCAATAGCAAATGATTATTAATTAATTAATCGAAATTCTACCTTGCAACACGAAGTTGTTTCGCATCAGCCACGAAGGCTCAATCGTTGTCAACGAACATTTTCATAATTATATATTCAATAGATTGTCCTTAATTGATTGCAACATCCCCTACAATCTGACCGTCATTTATGATTCACGAGCCGTTAATTCTGTCCATAATTGAGTGCAATCAACGGCCTCTAAATCCTCGTCGGCATTATTAATGTCACTCAGCCCTTTGTCTGTCGATGGTAATGCAACGTTTCGCTAAAAATCTAATCCTGTCGAAGACTTTTCTCTTTTACATTGGTTTCAGAATAAAGATGGCTCTTTTAAGTTATGTTGACACCATTTACTAAACATTTAAAAAAAAGAGTAAAAAAGAAAATATAACACTTTTAAGTTAGATTGCTCCATGTATCCAAAGACACCATTTTTTAAAAACAAAAAGAAAATAGACAAAGATGAGGAGTTCGAAAAGTTCTGAGAAACTACTGAGGTGAGTGAGGAA